TTTCCAGTTTTCTGTGACATTGTGGTTACCGGAAATGAAGTGTTGTTCTTTGACACCAGTAAAAGATCTAAAGTCGTGAGATACGATTTGAAAAATAAAGTTTGGACATTTTTCAACATTGACCATATCGTGACAGACTATGAAGCTCGCCAATTTGTAAGTGGTAAAAATGGAAACACTTATCTTGTTACAAGAAATTATAATTATGACCCGAATGGCTTAGAATTTCGAGGCTATACATTTGATTTCAAAATTCTTCAGTTTAATCAAATATTTTCGATTCAAGGTTTTCCATGGAACGGATTTTCCACCTATAGCCAGGTCGTTAAAATGAAGGCCAAACTCAGCTCTGTATCAAATGAATTACTTATCCTTTCTTCACAAGATAGCAACGACTATATCATAATTGTTGACTTAAACCCACTTGATAATGGTGGAAGACCGAAATCACAGAATCTGTTGTATGACGAAAAGCTCGATTTGCTGAACGATGACATACTTGAAATCGAAGATAGATTTCTGGTTGTGTCGTCTGCAAATAATGTGTTAACTATAAAGTTTCAATACAAATTTCGTTCAAAGGTCCTGGAAAATGTTGAAAATAGGTGGCACTACGACTTACCTCCGGTAAGCGACTTGCACCGTGAGAAGTGGCACCGTTTCTTATTTAAGGACTCCTGTTGGCTGATGGAAGAAGAATATGGGTATACAAGCAGAATTAGAAAAGTTAGAATAGATAAATCAGGAGTTACAGACATTGAAGAACACATCCCGCCTCCATTTGTTGAACCAGTCTCAGTCTATGCAACTGAAGTGAGTAAAAGCTTTTTCTGCGACCTTGAACCAGTCAGTCATTTCTTAGAGCATCCGCAAAGGAAAGGGGAGTATAGGTGATAAAACAAGGCTTTTAATATACATTGACTTAAGGTAGTACACCCCTAATGCACTGTCTCCACTTTGAAGAGTATTCAAATAGGCTAAATTCACTGTAAAGTGTATTGAAACTGAGGGGGCGTGGGTTCAAACCCCAGAAGGGGCAATTTTTTTTCTTTCTTTTTTTTCTTTTTAACATTTTTTATTAATCTCTGAGACCCCCTATCGAAGAAAAAAGTGTTTTATTTTAATTATATAATTATTGTAGGTATTTATTTACTAAATAATGCTAAATTTAATAGCAAATATGATACCAGATATTTTCAAAGTTTAATAAAATAAAAACTAAACGGTAAAAGTATTTTATATTTTGCAAGACCAACCAATATACATTAAAGAAAATTTAGGCAAACTTTGAAAATAGCCCCTCATTTTGGAAAATTTTAGGGATATTTTAAATAAGGCTTTTTACATAGGGAAATGGTCAAATTAGTGTTAAAAGTGGGTGGGGTAGGGTTACATTTTTATACATATTAAAAACATTTCGTTTAAAAACAATCATTCTGCTTGTTTAATTTGTTACCTAAATGTCATTATTTATTTCTTAACAATGAGCAAAAGGAAAACATTTTTCATAATGATGATATTATAGATTATTTAGAGTTTCCTCATTTCTGAAAAAAATCTCTTCTAATGGCAAAGTTTTAGTTCATAAAAATGTCCATAACTCATAAACCACACGGTAAATTTTGTTTAAATTTTGCATACAGGTGACATTTAAGGCATATAACTGTCCTATGTTGTCAAATTTACAATTCCTTATAGTGCCCATTAGGGGTGTACTACCTTAAGTCACTTATTAGTGAAACAACTAAAATGTATGCATTCAACAAATTAGATACAATTATTATTGGTTTATTTCAATAAATATGTTACTCCAGATTAATGTCTTTCACGAAGCCATTCTTATGATGTTTCTTATTTAATATAATGTAAATTAGTATGCATTTTATTATAAGACATGAATTATGCTTACTATGATAACTTGTGCATTGGCGGCACTTTTTCCTTTAATATGTAGAAATCTGGACAAGAGATAATGTTAAATTATATGTTATACAAATTATTGCTTTTGATATATAAATACTTTTATCATAATTAATTAATTAACCAATTTTTCTTTCTTTATTGATTATTTTATTTATTTCTCTGTCTTATTTTATTATTATTATTTTTTTAATTTTTGTATTTGAACCATGGTTTGGCATTGAAATAAGAGAACTCCACTGAGGTCCAAAAGTCTAAAAACATAAAATTTGAATTTCTGATATATACAGATTAATAGTGGCACTTAAGACAGAAAGATATGCAAAAGATAATTGAGAAATATAAATCATTGCAATGCTTTTCAATTTTGGGTCAGTTTTTAGCTCACCTGTCACAAATTGACAGGGTGAGCTTTTGTGATCGCTTTTCGTCCGTCGTCCGTCCGTCGTCCGTAAACTTTTACTTTAAATGACATCTCCTCATTAACCACTCAGCCAATTTCATCCAAACTTCACAGGAATGTTCCTTTGGTGGTCACCTTTGAAAATTGTTCAAAGAATTAAATTCCATGTAGAACTCTGGTTGCCGTGGCAACCAAAAGAAAAAACTTAAAATATCTTTTTCTAAAAAACCCAAAGAGCTGGAGCTTAGATTTTTGGCATGAAACATCTTCTGGTGAGTGTCTACCAAGTTTGTTCAAATAAAAGCCCTGGGGTCAAAATTGGCCCCGCCCCAGCGGGTCATTGATTTTCCCGATATGCATATAGTAAAAACTTAAAAATCTTCTTTTAAAGAACCAAAAGAGCTAGAGCTAAGATATTTAGAATGAAACATCTTCTAATGGGTGTCTACCAAGTTTGTTCAAATAAAAGCCCTGGGGTCAAAATTGGTCCCGCCCCTGTGGCTCATTGATTTTCCCTATATGCATATAGTAAAAACTTAAAAATCTTCTTTTAATGAACCAAAAGAGCTAAAGCTAAGATATTTAGTATGAAACATGTTCTAATGGATGTCTACCAAGTTTGTTCAAATTAAAGTCCTTGGGTCAAAATTGGCCCCGCCCCAGGGGGTCATTGATTTTCCCTATATACATATAGTAAAAACTTTAAAAAATCTTCTTTTAAAGAGCCCAAAGAGCTAGAGCTAAGATATTTAGCATGAAACATGTTCTAATGGGTGTCTTTCAAGTTTGTTCAAATAAAAGCCGTTGGGTAAAAATTGGCCCCGCCCAAGGGGGTCATTGATTTCCCCTATATGCATATAGTAAAAACTTAAAAAATCTTCTTTTAAAGAACTAAAAGAGCTAGAGTTAAGATATTTAGCATGAAACATCTTCTAATGGGTGTCTACCAAGTTTGTTCAAATAAAAGCACTTGGGTCAAAATTGGCCCCGCCCCAGGGGGTCAATGATTTTCCCTATATGCATATAGTAAAAACTTAAAAATCTTCTTTTAATGAACCAAAATAGCTAGAGCTAAGATATTTAGCATGAAACAATTTTGTTCTAATGGATGTCTACCAAGTTTGTTCAAATAAAAGCCCTTGGGTCAAAATTGGTCCCGCCCCAAGGGGTCATTGATTTTCCCTATATACATATAGTAAAAACTTAAAAAAATCTTCTTTTAAAGAACCCAAAGAGCTAAAGCTAAGATATTTAACATGAAACATTTTCTAATGGGTGTCTTCCAAGTTTGTTAAAATAAAAGCCCTGGGGTTTAAACTGGCCCCGCTCAGGGGGTTATGTACAGGTGAGCGACTTCAGGGCCATCATGGCCCTCTTGTTACAATTAGAACAAATATTCTGAAAAACAGAGTAAGCTAAAGATCTGAAATTGTGCACACAAGTGACTGGTCTAGACATACATTGATTGGACCATTAATCTCGAAAAAAATATTTTCAGTACCAACATGTCAAAAAACCTCAGTGGAGTCCCTGTAAGATTATTGATTTTCCTTATATGTGTATAGCAAAAACTTAAAATCTTCTTTGACAAAACCCAAATAGCTAGAGTTTAGATATTAAGCATGAAACATCTTCTAGTAAGTGTCTACAAAGTTTGTTCAAATAAAAGCCCTGGGGTCAAAACTGGCCCCGCCCCAGGGGTGTCATTGTTTTTAACTATATGTGTATAGTATAAACTTTAAAAAATCTTCTTTTAAAAAGCCCAATGAGCTAGAGCTTAGATGTTTAGCATGCAACATCTTCTTATGGGTGTGTGTTGGGGGGGGGGGGCTATATACAGTTGAGCGACCTCAGGGCCATCATGGCCCTCTTGTTTTTTTATTTTTGGCGTTTGATTTTAACTATAATACATGTATGTTTGATTGGAATAAAATATTGTTTAAACTAACGTATCGCCAAGACGTCATTTGAAACAAAATGGTGGAAATCAAACATGGTTTTAAATCACCTTTGCACTATGTATTTCAGTACATTCTGTTTTTAGAACCTATTCCTCTCTAATATATGCCTCCCTATCTTTGTGATACAAAAGAAAATGATCAAAATTGGTCCAAAATTAGTTCTGTGATTCTAGTTAAATGGCTCAGATATACATTGTAGTTCTGTTTCAACATAATTCCTCACACAAAACATTTTCCACTGCGTTTAGATCCCATTACATTTTCTAGTGAGTTATAATTTTTTTACAAAATAGGGAGACCACCAATAACGTTCACGTTCTTGTTAGTTTACTTTGAAGAGATACATGTATCAATATGCTGATAATTTAATTTCTATATTTACAAGATGAGTTGTTGTTTTTTCTTATCAACACGAAAATATTATGTCATTTTTCGGCAAGCATTGCTAGTCACATATCTAACACATATATGTATATGTATTGATATCCTAGAAATAAGGAATAACATATGCAAGTTAACCAATTTTAAGTTGTGTTTCACCATTGTTATTTAAGAATGGCAATAACTATCCTTACATTTTATTTTAGAATGGCCAATGAAATTCCAAGACTTTAGTTTGTAATTTGAAAATGACCAATGGAAATTCTTGATACATCTTGTTATTGATAACCATTCGTATATAATAAATCAAGGAACTAGCTTTTAGTTATACATACCTAACATTCTTGATTCAGCTCTGAGAGATTTGGATTCATCTTCAAATGACAGGAAGTCTCCTCGCAACTCCATTCGGCTTTCTTCGATGACGTCAATCATTTCTTCAGTTTCTTGTTCATAAAGATCAAGAAGATTTTCAATAAACGCTTTCTGAAACATACAATGTAGATTTTTAATAACGCTTTGGGGCCATATTAAACAGATAAAGATTTTTAACAAACGCTCTCTGAAACTGAACAAAATCTTCTATAAACCTTTCCTATGGTCAGATTACTCATTTGTGATATGGCCTGAGATTGGCTGCAAAAAGTGCAGGAAAACCCGAAAGATTCAATGGGACATCAGGATTTATATAAATCCGTGGTCCTGTGTTCAACAGAAAAAATGTCAGTGAAAGGGCGGGGGGGGGGGTAATATTCTTTGGGACATTTTGCGAAAAAATGGTCGGTCAACCCTATATAACAAAATCAATTCAATGTGTCCGGCATGTCATTCTTCTAGAAAAAATCACATCTTTAGGATATAATGTTAGTCTATGGGAAAATTAATACAGTAGTCTGACCCTAAAACAGATCAAGATTTTCAGTAAACATTCCACAACGGGTCAAGTAGATTGTCAATAAACGATTCCCGAAACAAGAAAAATGTTCTTTGTGTTTCTTGATATTATATACATTGTAGTACATGTATCAAAAACGTTTCTTTTAAAAGCTTTCCGAAGGAAGAAATTGTTTTTTCTCTCGTAAAAATATAAAATCGAATTTTGATGGGAGTCGATAATTACGTCAGAATGCCTGTATTCTTTATCCGAGCTTGAAGTGGGCGGCTTGAAGTAATTTTCTCCAAGACAGGAAATACTCGTATATAGGACTTTTCAGATATCGATCTATTTAACATTAGACACATAATAAATAGATAGATAGAATGTAAACCTGAAGAGCAAAATTGAAAATGTTGCAGGCTCACTTCAAATGAGCCTGTACATGGACTGAAGTTAAATGTAAGCTACCGCCCGCGTCTCTTTGCATCGGCTTAAAGGGACAATTGAGCCTTTTTTGACATACCGGGGCTAGATGTACTTTTTGGGGGTTTTAAGTTCTCTAGTCGACTTAAATTTTATATTTTTTAGGCTTTAAGCTTATTTAAATAAGATATAGATCATAGCTTAATCGAAAAAAATTAAACGTTTGCAAATCTGTTATTACAGTGCTGATCGTGAAACATTCAATGTGACATTTCCATGCAACGAATTTAAGAACATTTGGGCCGCGCCATGACAAAACCAACGTAGTGCGTTTGCGACCAGCATGGATCCTGATCACGACCCATGATGTTCGCTTACAAACCCTTTAACAAGTTGAGAAACTGAAAGCGAACAGCATGGATCCTGATCAGACTGCGCGGATGTGCAGGCTGGTCTTGATCCATGCTGGTCGCAAACGCATTATGTTGGTTTTGTCATGGCACGGCTCATTTGTAACCTGAACGAGAAAACAAGTGGCTGAAATAAACATTTTAGAGGGAGGTCAGACACTAAATCCTGGATATCGCAGACTGCTGTTAAAAAATACCAGGCAACATATTCTATGGGTGATGGATTTATGAGTGATTAAACGAAACTCTGTGCGTTCAGTAAAGTTAGAATAATAGAAATACTTCTAAATATCAATTACTAAAACATTTGCAAACTTGTAAATATTTTCTGACACAGTTGGCGTTTCTTAGCCCATTAAATGTTTTCGACATTTGCGAATTTGGCGAATGGAAGATTATGTTAGTGTTCTTAAAAACGGGTTATCAATACTAAGTTATTCATTTCATAATTGGATTTGACAGAGTATTCTATTTTCCATGTACGCCGGAAATCATCTTTTACAATACATTTCTTTTTTGTTATACATTGTGTATTTTTTCACCCAAAGATGCATTCAATTTTTTCAGGTTATGATCAAGATTTCCTTAGAATGGCAGCGCACTTGGTTGTGCTTGATTATTCTTACGTGACAGGATACTGGTTGTCATTGATTCATGTTTAATTCGTTACTTTTTAAACTTCTGGATTAATCGATTTGCCTCACTTCTGCTTTGTTAGTTTCATTGAATTTTGATTATTGATTAAACATCAGCTGAAGGTAAAATGGTTTCTGTTTGTGTTTACAAATATTTATTTTCTGTGTTCAATAATAGAGATAGGCCGTATCCTCAGCGATATGAAATGAATATGAAATTACAATTATAAATGCATTATGTACAATCGGATTGAAACGTTTGCTATTTATATAGTATCCATGTGTTGTGTTCTCATCAATAAAATATCAGGATCGTGTTCAGACTCAAATTATCATCATCGTATTTTCTTTGTTTTGTGAAACATACAATATTATGAACTGCTATAATTTGTCATATAATCTGGACGGGCTAAGATTTCTGTTGACTATTACCTTTAAACGTGGAGTAAAAATGACCGCTTAAAGACCTAAAACATATTAATATGTCCATAAAATTGTAACATTAATTATTCTTGTCTGCATGACATGAACATGAATATTCTCGTAGTTAATTAACATTTCTAGTTTATTATATAACAACCTTCAACTTTTATAAGGTCGAAAGACAAAATTTCTTGAAAACGAGATCAAAAAGAGTCAGACATTTTTTTTTCGTGGCTTAGATTACGTCTAGTGTTGCACTAATATTTAATGACAGTTTCTTCTGTATGAAGTTGAAACTGAAAGCTTGTATACAAAATCCTATATTTCACAGCTTTCAAAGTTATTTCACATAATGTTACATAAAGCAGATCATATCAGGTTTTGAAGCACTGGAATGAATGTCTTTGAATGTGTTCTTTAGGGTCAATGATATGTCGTGCCCTTAGCATATACTGTCAGAGGAAACAGCTGCTAGGTCAAAGTAATTTATACAGGTAAAGAATTAGAAGCGCATAGGGTAAGCTTATCTCTAGAATTCCTCAAGTTATTTCTACTGATTAAGGTCATTTGAGCCGTGCCTTGACAAAACCAACATAATGGGTTTGCGATCAGCATGGATCCTGATCAGACTGCGCGTACCAACCCTATTACAAGTAGAGAAACTGATAGCGAACAGCACGGATCCTGATCAGACTGCGCGGATGCGCAGGCTGGTCTGGATCCGTGCTGGTCGCAAACGCACTATGTTGGTTTTGTTGTGACGCGGCTCATTTGTTTCGTCATTAGGAGAGCAGCGGGATATTGAGGACATGAGTTTATCATGTCATTAATCTAAGGAAGAATTTGAACCGATTCATTCTATGCCAGCTCTTATCAAAGTTATCGTTATATTATTGGCCTAGATCTGTTTTTATCTTAGCTTTGACGTATTCATGTTAATGTGTCCTCGGTATACTGAGAGCTGCAGTGGTTAAACGAGGACTATTTTTGTCCTCGGTATACGGTGTGTTTCCATAAGTGTGTCCTCAGTATGTCAGAGTGTTTTCTGTTGTCAAATGGAAATAAAATGTATGTTTGGCGCTAGGGGGCAAAACTCTAGATTATTGTTAATGATAATAAGATTTTTGGATTGACAATACTAATTTCACTGATGTTAATTTGTCCAAAATTGAGAACAATTTTGACTTTAGCATCAATATTTGAGTCCACTTTTAACCGCATGTTAGTTAACTTTAAATCTGCGAAGAAATATTAAAATATAATTAAGAAAATGTAACAATGTGTCGGGAAATTGAAAGGTCAATCACTTTTAAAGTAAACAATTTTAGTTCAAGCTTTATAAGTATTAATTAATGCACCAGCTAAATGATTCTGATTGACATGGTAACAAATTATCACCTTAATGGGGTATAATGAAATATTTTTGTAAAGTTTATATTAAAATTATAAACAGTAAAATTAGGCTGTTTCCGTATTATTTCGTCTGGTTCTTGACAGTATATAGTACCGAAACAGTATAAATGCGCCGGGCTGCTATTTAACCATTGGGCAATGATTTTGTGCATGCCTCATTCGGTTATAAGGATATATACAAACATATTTCTTTCATACAGGTACTTTGGAAATACATATATTTTCGCTTCTTTTTAAACATTCATACACTTATTTCGTTAACTAAGACAGTAGATATAGTATAGCTTTACACTTTGAACAGAGTCAGTATATATTTTACCACAAAAAGGCCACGTAAGGCGAACGAATTGTGCGCAAGAGATGGAGAAAATCAACTTTTGATTGGCATTGTCCACAATAATTTATGAAAATTTATTCGCTCATCAAAAAGCAAATCATTAAGTTTTTTTGTTAAACTACATTGTATGTCTTATTCCATTAAAAGGCACATTATGCCTCGATCAGAAATCCACACTTTTTTTAATGTCAAGAAATATCAAACTTGTGTTTGGTAATGTTTTAATAATGGATTTAGAGCATGTAAAATATTTTACAACTGTAAAAGTAGCACTGAACGTGACGTGTTTATAAAGATAGCAAAATTTAAACAAAATAATATTTTGTATTCAACACAAAATACTTATTCACTATAATTATACCAATTGCTAACAGGTCAAAGAAAGTAAAGATAGTTCATCTATGTGACAAATTAGTATATATTTTAATTTGTAACAAGTTACCAAATATAAAAAGTGTTTGAAAAATAAAAATGATAACATTTCTGGAACATGATGGGCCTTTAACCAGTTATTAGCTGTTGCTGATTATATTCTGTGAAGTTTCAGAAATTCCACAAAGCATTCAAAGTATCTTCCTTCAAAGAATATTTGTTTCGTCACTTTACTTTTCTAAAATCGATGGCAAACGTCTATAATTTGGATCAATGGCTTTTCGTGTTATTTGTTAAAGTAAGACACACATATTTGCGGGGCATGTCCTGTCCGGAAGGTTAAAATAGCGTGGCAGTGGTTATAATATACGAGTCTTATATAAACATTCGAAAATATATTTAAAAACCTAATTTAACTGTTCATAATGATTTGTTTTTAACATTTTCCAGGACTTTTTCTATAAAAGTTTCATATTTAAAAACAAATTACGATAAGCGTGGCATATTTGCTTCTATGTGATCGAACGATTTTATCGTTTATTGATATTTTTAATGCTATTAAAGTAAGCCACTTTTTATTATATATCGCAAGGGCA